TGTCCCCAACCAGGCTAACCGGCTGGAGAAGGCGGTGGCCGCGGCCTACACCTTCCTGCAGAGGAACCCCAAGCACGAGCTGACCGCCAAGTATCTCAACTACTACCGGGGAATGCTGGACGGCGCGGACGAGTCCCTAACGGATCTGGAGGCCCAGCCCTACGAGGTGGGGGCGGGCCCCCCCCCGGGTGGGGCTTGTAGAGGAGGGGAGGTGTTGGGGGCCCACTCACCCCTCTGCCGCGCTCCACTAGGCCGTGTTCCTCCGGGCTGTGAAACTCTACAACGGTGGGGACTTCCGCAGCAGTACCGAGGACATGGAGCGCGCCCTGGCCGAGTACCTGGAGGTCTTTGCCCGGTGTCTGGCGGGCTGTGAAGGGGCCCACGAACAGGTGGACTTCAAGGACTTCTACCCAGCCATAGCAGGTATCCTCAACCCCCCACCCCTGCGGACAGCCCTCTGACCCTCAGGGCCCTTAGCATTCATTCATTCCATGCACCTGGGGCGTCTGCTAAACGCTGAGGAACTGGGCAGGATAAGGTGTTAGTCCCCATGGAACCTTCAGTCTGCTGAGAGAGAGGCTGGGTGCAGAGGGCCACAGTCGAGAGTGTCTAAGGTGCTGGGCATCGGTGCAGAGAGACAGTGACATCCCCAAAATGTCTGGAGAACTTGGGTTCACAGGTGTGGAGGTGCCAAGGTTGAGCAGGCTGAGGCAGGAGGATCCCTGAAGCCCAGGAGTTCAAATCCAACCTGGGCAACATAGCAAGATCTTGTTTCTTTTTTAAAAAAGTGTTTTAGGGCAAACTCCTGGGGTTCTCTCTCGCTTTTGGAGCTTTTCTGTCCTTTCAATAAATCCTACTTTTTATAAAAAGTGTATTAGTTTAATTTAGGATTTATTAAGGGAATGAAAGGCCGGGCCCGGTGACTCACGCCTGTAATCCACTTTGGGAGGCTGAGGCAGGAGGACTGCTTGAGCCCAGGAATTCAAGACCAGCCTGGGCAACATGGTGAGACCTCATCTCTACAACAAATTAAAAAATCAGCCAGCATGGGGGTGCACGCCTGTAGTCCCAGCTATGGGGAAGGCTGAGGCGGAGGAGCCCAGGTGGTTGAGGCTGCGGTGAGCCGTGATTGTGCCACTGCACTCCAGCCTGGGCAACAGAGTGAGACCCCCACTCAAAAAAGAAGTGGGGGGGATTGAAAAGGTACCGAGATGGGAACCAGCCCAGCAGGTGTGTGCAGAAGGCAGTTTGTGGCCAGAAACCATGCCTCATCCTGGGATTGTTAACCTGGGGCCCCTCAAGCAGGGGCAGAAAGGGCTGTCTTTTCACTTCTCTGGCTACTGTCCTGCCACTAAATCTCACCTCCTGACCTCCTGTTCTCCCAGAATGCCCTGGCTTGCTCTGGCTTGGGGTGGGGGTCGCATGGTGGGGGGTGGTCAGTCCCGCCACAGTGACCTTTCTCAGCATCTTGTACCTTGTCGTATCAGATGCCATGCACGTTACATACAGGACCTCATGATCGAAACAATGGCTGTTTTCTGGACAAGGAGGCAGGCTCTGCGGGCAGAGCTGGGTCGTGAAGGCTTCTTCATGGTGGGGGAGTTGTCCAGTGACACGCCAGCTCCTCACTGCTGCCACCCCCCCAGATCTCTTTGCAGAGTCCCTGCAGTGCAAGGTGGACTGTGAAGCCAACCTGACCCCTAATGTGGGCGGCTACTTCGTGGACAAATTTGTGGCCACCATGTACCACTACCTGCAGTTCGCCTACTACAAGTGTGAGACCCCAGGGGGGCTTGGGCAGGGAGGGAACTACATGAGAGCCTCCCAGAGTGGTGGGTAGCTCTCCCCCTCAGAATTGGGGACCCTGGGTGATAGGAGGAAGGGCTGGGGGTGGAAAGGATGTGGGGAGGGTACCCTGGGGGTGTGTAGGAGGCTTTGAGAGCAGTCTCCGGGACAAGCAGAGGGTCTCGGGCAAGTGAGTAGACAGCCAGCAGCTGCAGAGCCCTTGGCAGTGTGTGAGGCCCTTTGTCTCATGTGGTCTTCCCCCGACATGCAGCTGGCTTCCTAGACCCATTTCTCAGATGAGGAAATGGGCTTGGAGAGAGTGAGTGACCATGAGCCCAGGACTGATAAAAGGTAGTCCCAGGCCTGTGACTCTCGTGGCCTGAGAGAGATCCTGGCATCCCCAGGGCCAGAAGGAAACCCTCCAGGCCTCCCGCCACATGGAAGTGCCAGGATTCAGAACTCAGAGTTGGAGTAAACGGCTGAGAACCACAGGGCTGGGACCCTTCATGGGGACAGAGGGCCTCAGGCACCCTGGTGCTGTTGTTCCCCAGCTGTGTGAGCTTGAACCGTTTATCTAACCTCTCTGTGCCTCAAATTTTCTGTCTGTAAGCTGTGCACAGTGGCTCACGCCGTTAATCCCAGCACTTTGGGAGGCAGAGGTGAGAGGACTGCCTAAGTTCAGGGGTTCGAGACCAGCTTGGGCAACTTAACGAGACCTCATCTCTACAGTAAATCAAAAAATTAGTCGGGTGTGATAGCACACACCTGTAGTTCCAGCTACCTGGAAGATTGAGGCGGAAGGATTGCCGGAGCCCAGCAGGTTGAGACTGGGGTGGCCGTGAGTGTGCCTGGGCGACGGAGTGAGACTCCAACTCCAAAAAAAAAAAAAAAAAAAAAAGATTTTTTTTTTGTCTGTAAAGTAGGATGACAGTAACAGAGGGCTTGGCACATGGCAGGTACCCGCCACACGCTGGGGATGTTATTCCTAGGTGGGGCAAGGGGCCCAGCAGGCATTCCGGGGTACAGGAGTGAACTGGGAGATGGGGCTAGGGTACTCTGGGTGGGGCCGACTCTAGAGGGGCCGTGCCAGGGCCGCCCCTCACCCGTGTCCTTCCACAGTGAACGACGTGCGTCAGGCCGCCCGCAGCGCCGCCAGCTACATGCTCTTCGACCCCAAGGACAGCGTCATGCAGCAGAACCTGGTGTATTACCGCTTTCACCGGGCTCGCTGGGGCCTGGAGGAGGAGGACTTCCGGCCCCGGGAGGTACCGTTTGCAGGGCACCTGCTGACCTCCCTGTCAGGCAGGGTGGAAAGTAGACAGAAAGGGTCATGGTGAGAGCCCAGGTTCAGGGCCCAGCCCACGACTGCGTGGTCCTGGGAGCATCGTGACCCTTCCTGGGCCTGCAGCCTCACCTGCGGAAGGGACTGGTACCACCCACCCCACCAGCCATGACTGGAGGAAGAGGCATGAGAGAGATCCTGGCGTCCCCAGGGCCAGGATCCCTTCCCGCCTTCCCTCATACCCTCACTGCTGGCCTTTGCCTCTCTTCCCCAGGGACCCCCTAGTCTAGCCAACTGAGGAAACCCCTTGGGGTCAAGGGCAAGGCAGGCAAGTATTGGGGCACGTGATGCCACTCCTGCTTACCTGTCAGTGGCAAACATTGTTGATTGAGGCACGTGTTTCTCACCAAACCCTCAGAATCCTTTTTTTTTTTTTTTTTTTGAGTTGGAGTCTCACTGTGTTGCTCAGGCTGGTCTCAAACTCCTGACTCAGGCAGTCCTCTTGCCTCTGCCTCCCAAAGTGCTAGGCGTGAGCCACCACACCCAGCCCAGAATCCTTCTTAACCCAGTGCTCCAAGCATCTACAACTATCCGATCAGCATGAGAGCTGATCCCCATTCCCTGATCCTTGAGCTGGAAGAGGGCCTGTGGGTCCAGATCTTAAGAACCTGGCTCTGCCATCTGGCAGTGGATCCGCCTCAACCCTGTCCTCCCTCCTTCCTCCCAGGAGGCTATGCTCTACCATAACCAGACGGCCGAGCTGCGAGAGCTACTGGAGTTCACCCGTACGTACCTGCAGTCAGATGACGAGGTGGGTGGCCCCTGCCCTGGAAGGCTGAGCCATGATGTGGATGCCCGGGCCCACTGCCTGTGCCTGAGTTCCCAGTCCCCAGCAGTCGGCTGTCACGAAGCAGGAGAGGTCTGCCTGTCCCCTGTCTACATTGTCTCTTGTCTACGCTGTTCCTTCTCTCCCCCACTTCGGTGTTCTCATGCTTCTCCCTGGACACGTCCCAGTCCTGCTTCTCCCAGGCCTAGCTCACATGACGCCTCCTCCAGGAAGCCCTTGCTGCCTGCCCTGCCCCTCTCTTCTGGGCTTGCGGTGCCCGCTCTGACCCTCCACACCTCGCTGGCTGCGCCTGGCCTGGACCTGGGGTGATTTGTAGCCCTGGTCCATCTCGCCTGGCCTCCTCCTGTCAGCCTCCTGGAGGACTGTGCTCCAGAATGAGCCTGGGTCCTCTAAACACTCCCCGGCACCTGCACAGCCTGTGTTCAGAAGCTCGGTGTGAATGAGCCGGTGAAGGGGATCCAGTGAATGCAGGATGCCGGGAAAGAGGGCTGTGGTGCGTGACACTGATGTCATGTGGGTTTCACAGCCTGAATTTTCCTGAGGTGTCGCTGCTCCATGGTTATTCATTCCTCCCTCCTTTGTCTATGCCCTGCTTATCAACATGGGACAGGGTCTACACTGTTGGCTCCCAGGCTCGGGTGCTAGGATCTGGCTGCACTGCTCACCAGTTGATAGGCTCCAGGCCAGCATGGGGTGACCTCCCACACCCCAGCCCTTCTTCCATCGAGTGGGAGACTCCTGCCTGTCTCATACCGCCCTGAGGAGGGTTAAGTGAGGCCCAGTATGGAAAGCATTTCAAGACTGGGTGTGGCAGCTCACCCCTGTAATCCCAGCACTTTGGGAGGCCAAGGTGGGAGGATTGCTTGAGCCCAGGAGTTCCAGACCAGTTTGGGCCACACAGGGAGCCCTGTCTCTAGCATAAATAAATAAGGAAAGCACTTGAGACAGAGCTGCATACAGTAGGTGCTCAGCAAACGGTAGTCATTGTCATGACTTGCTGTTATCTGTGGTTTGCCAGACGCCAGGCTGGGCCGGGTTAAGCTAGCAAAGCACAGTCCCTTTCCCAAGCAGCTGACAGTCTAATGGGAAAGTACCAAACTGTCAGCACAGGGCACCAGAGAAGGACTCCCATCCAGCCGGGGCCACCTGGCCTTCCATCCAGCCAAGGCCTCCTGGAGCTGACGCCTGACTCTGGTGGGACCCACAAGGGCAACGCAGGCACAAAGGAGTGGAGGAGGTCCCAGCAGGGAACGCCAGGGTATTTATGCCTAGAAGGCAGGGCGAGGGAGGCGTGATGTTTTTGAGGCAGGGTCTCACTCCATCACCCAGGCTGGAGTGCAGTGGCGTGATCACAGCTCAAAGCAGCCTCGACCTCCTGGGCTCAGGTGATCCTTCTGCCTCAGACTCCTGAATAACCGGGACTACAGGCTCATGCCACCACATCTGGCTAATTTTCTGATTTTTTCTGAACCTCTGTCAGGTGCAGTGACTTACTCCTATAATCTCAGCACTTTGAGGGGGCCGAGGCGGGGTATCACTTGAGCCCAGGAGTGTGAGACCAGCTTGAGCAACATAGTGAGACCCTGACTCTACAAAAAATAATACAAAAATTCTATGAGATCTTGAGACTGGGGAAGGGGAGGGCCTTTGGGGACTGAGATGGGATGGGAGGTCCCCTTGGCCACGGAGGGAACCCATCTGGGTTTGGGCCTGCTGTGACTTGGTTTCTCCCCCAACCCTGGGGCTGCTCTAGATGGAGCTGGAGGAGACAGAGCCATCCTCAGAGCCCGAGGAAGCCCTGTCCGATGCTGAGTTTGAGGGGGAGGGTGACTATGAGGAGAGCATCTATGCCGACTGGTGGCAGGAGCCAGACGCCAAGGGTGACGAGGCTGAGGCTGGTCAGTGTCATGGGTCCTGGTGGTGGGGTGGGAGGTACAGCCTGGGGTGGAGGTTGGGATGGTGGATCCACCCATTGGGCTGCAGAGCCTACCTTACATGTGTGGGTGTTGAGAACCCTCTAGAGTTTCCAGCCTGCTAGCGGCCCCGCCCCCACTTGGGGGGAGGGGCAGCATCCCCCTGTGCTGGGACCAGCCGATACGA